TGCTAGTATTGGTCAAAAAATTCCCTGCACCGACAAGCAACAAGGTTGTTGGATGCAGAAAAGATGATTGGCTATGTAACAAGTTCGTTGAGAATTTACCTCTGATACTTGTCGACTTCATCAAGGTTCGTCAACACGTAGAGCATGATCTTGCGCCACTCTTCATTGGTCAAGAACTTTTTGGATGCTCCACTTGATCTCCTGCGTTGCCCTTTGAATAGGCTGAGGGTCGATTCATTTTCGTCCTCGTTGTAACGAGGGGGTGGATTATGCACGCTAGGAAGGTTGTCACTATAGTATAATGTTGTGAAGTTTGACACCTCCTCACGAATGAATACCTTTGCTATGGAAGCCTCAATCCTGCCTTTGTTTACACATTTCTGGCGAACAGTCTTTAGACATCTCTCGATTGGATAGCACCAACGGTTCTGCACGGGCCCCCCCATTCGGACCTCGTTTGGGAGGTGCAAAATCAAATGCTGCATCGACAATAAAAAGCTAGGTGGAAAGATCTTCTCCAACTTATAGAGCAACTTGGGTGCCGTTTTTTTCCAACTCCTCAACTACTTTCAGAGAGATCTCCTTGGCACAAAGCTGGCAGAAGAAAAAGCTCAACTCTGCCAGCACCTTCCAGACATGCTCAGGGACGTAGCCACGAACCATCGACGGAAGAAGCCGCTCAATCCATATGTGAAAGTCATGACTCTTCATCCCTAACACTCGGCCAGTATCTGGGTTCGCTCCCTCCTCGATTATTTTTTGCAAACCCATCGTGGAAACTTAACGTCTGCATCCATTGTATCACTTCCGTCCTGTGCTTCTTTTTCCAAGACATAATTGGCCTTAGGCCTTTTCCATGGTTTGCCGTCTCTTGGAGGCGAGATCGTAGCTTTTGATGCGTCGCATAGTGTTGCCATGTCTACTCTAGCCTTAGGGTTGTCCTTGTCTTGTCAGGAATGTCCATGAGTGTTGCCCAAAGTGCTTCGGCGACATTCTTCTCAGTGTGCATTACATCTATGTTATGTGGAAGGAGAAGGTCATCAAAATAGGGAAGCCTCTCCAATCCCGACTTATGAGTCCACATATGTTTCACACCATAGCCCACAAAGCGATCTTTGTTTGGATTATCTTTCTTTGGATTAACATTCTTTCTTTTACCCTTCTTTGGATTATCTTTCTGCGTCGGGACCACGAGAGCATCTATCTGAGCATGAACCTAGCCACCAGTCATCTTATGAGGTGTAGGGTCGGTCACCGTGACACCTTTCGTGAAGTTCTTGGTGTCTTCTCTGAATGGATGGTCAAGAGGAGGAACTGCCGATGCTTGTCGAACAACGAGAACTTGCCACCCTTCTTCAACCAAATGAACTATAGAGCTGCCTTGCATCTAGGGCATGGAAACTTCCCGTGGACACACCAATGCTGAATATCCCATATGCTGTGAAGTCATGCATGGAGTACAAGTACCAAACATACATTTTGAAGTTCTTCTTTGTAGCTCGGTCGTAAGTCCATACGCCTTCATTCCAAACCTTGATCAATTCATCATAAACCGGCTCCATGTACATACCCATTTTGTTTCCCTGGTGTCCAGGAATTATCAACATCAAGAATATGTTTTGCCGTTGAAGTAGGGCCCCAGGGGGGAGATTGAGGCACGACCGCAGCGCCGACGAAGACGATCGAGATCGCCGAGGTGCTCCGGGTCCCCTCCGACAGCTCCTACTCTGCAAAAGAAGAAACACATCACTATTACTTGAAAATTTCGGCAGAACCTCCCCTATATGGGGAGGTTTCCAAAACCTGCAAGAAAAAGCCAGCACGTTGGCCGATGTCCACATTTGGGGCACGATGGCCCACACATACACAAACCCGGCACGAAGGCCGTCAACACATAAACGGCACCAAGGCCGACACCCCCGGAGCCTTTACCTTTTCTCCGGCGAGGGACGGGGACGACGGCGTGGACGAACGACGAGGTGCGGGGACAATGGAGTGGACGAACATCGTCGACGAATGGCGTGAACGGTCATCGGACCGAGGTTCGTCTCCTCCTCCCCCCTTCTCCTTCCTCTTCCTCCTTCTTCTTCTTCATCCTTCCTCCCTTCTCCTTCTTCTTCCTCCTCCTCCTCCCTTCTCCTTCTTCCTCCTCCCTTCTCCTTCTCCTCCCTTCTCCTTCTTCCTTCTCCCTTCTCCTTCTCCCACCTCCCTTCTCCTCCTCCTTCTCTTTCTCCTCCTCCTCTCTCGCAGGACTACGGGCCGGGCAGGCGGGGCACCATGGCCGGCTCCTCCTCCTCTCAGAGGGACGGCCAGGCCGAGGCAGGGGCCAGGCCACCACCGCGGCGGTGGGTGGGGGCGCCGCCGGGGCGGTGGGCTGGGAGGGCCAGCCACGAGGGGTTGCGCGCAAGGCATGGGATGGGGGGCGTGGGCGGCGTGGGCAGGCGTGGTGGCAGGCGGCGGGGGGCCTGTTGGGCGGTCTGGCAGGAGGAGTGTGTGCTGGGTGAGAGGCGGGCATGAATGAGGATAGGGTTGGAGGAGGATGGGGTCAGGCCCTTATTCCGTATGGGATTTTTTTTGAAATATCCTTTTTTAGAGTCTTTGTGACTGGCACTTTCGGCAAAGCCTCTTTCGAGTGTCAGGGCATGGCACTGGCAAAGTATTTTTTTTTTTTAATTTTTATTTCAAAATTTTTTGTAGACCTTATCTATTATTTACAAGCACATGTTAAAATTTGGGACCTTTTTTTATAACTTTTTTGCTATATTTCTTGAATTAATTTTGTTTACTTAAATTTTGCATATCTCATAAAAATACGTAATCGCTGAGGTGCATGTGGAGATGTCTCGGGTTTTAGGCATCCGACATCGCAACTTGCTCAAACCTTCTCAACTTTTTATCATAGCTCCACATGTGATCACACACACCCCGACAAGTTTCTTGAGTTTTGACTTGCTTGCATTTTCGATAATTTAAATACACTCAAACCACAAGGTGTCGTCATGTTTGGTGTTAACAAGGTGTTCTATGAAAATTTTGGGTGAGCAAGTTGCGATGACACGGCCTCAAAATACACTCTACAACATGACTATCATTTTTGAATGACTACATTTCATTATTTCATGCACCTGCAGCTCAAATTTACTTTTAAGAAAAAATGCAAGTAAACAAAATTAATTCAAGAAATATAGCAAAAGTTATAAAAGGTCCCAAATTTTAACATGTGCTTGTAAACAATAGATAAGGTCTAGAAAAAAATTTGAAATCAAAATTCAAAAAAACAAAATATTTTGTCGAAGTGCCATGCCCGACACTCGGCAAGAAAGAGGGCCTTTGCCGAAAGTGCCAGTCGCAAAGACTCTCAAGAAAAGGGCCTCTTTGCCGAAAGTGTCGTTAAGCACTCAGTAAACATTTTTTTAAAGATGGTAACGGCGTGGGCGGGGTAGGCTGGCAACTGACGGGCATTTTGCCGAGTGCGCTCTTTGTCGAGTGTTGCGCTCGGCAAAGAGTGCCTTTGCCGAGTGGCGTGCTTTGCCGAGCGTCGGGCACGCTGCGGCACTCGGCAAAGCCACTCTTTGCCGAGTGCAATTCTTTGCCGAGTGCAACACTAAGAAGAGTGGCTTTGCCGAGTGCCCTATTTTCGCACTCGGCAAAGCATGCGACACTCGACAAATTTTGCTTCTCCCGTAGTGATAGGACGAGGACGCCCGTCCGTCCGGACACGCTCACTAAAAAAAACTCCGCACATGTGGTGGTCTGCTCCCTCCCTCTCCGCCTCACATCGCATGTCCCATTCTACGCCACACCGCCCCACCATCCTCCGCGGCGCCCCGTTCCCCCCCACCGCACCATGTTGTGCCCCGTCCTCCGCTGCACCAGTGCCAAGCGGCCGGGGAGATGGTGTTGTCGCTGCCAGCCTGTGTTAGGCGCAGATGATGCTGGCCAGCGCTGTGCCAGCCACGCCACCATCCTCGGTTGTCGGCGGAACCGGCTGTTCCCCCGCACTACGCTGCATCATATGGAAGAAGTAGAATGGTGAAAAAACGCATGTTGCAAGCCTATGTTTCATGAGGTTTTGATGTTTTCTAGGTATGTTGCAATTATTTCATATGGATGTTGCAAAAGTAGATCGGATGTTACATATTTTGTAATTGTTGTACATGTATGTTGCAAGCTTCTATTCTCAATGTTTTATCTGTTTTTTCAGAAGTATTTTGCAAGTGTGTTTATTTGGATGTTGCATATGTTTCACACATATATTGCAAGTGTTTTATCTGGATATTGCATATGTTTTACAGTGGTTTTCTGGTATTTTTGCAAGTGTTTCAGATGCATGTTTCAAGTGTCATCTGTATTTAGATGTATGTTGCAAGTGTTGCATCTGGTTATTTCAAAAGTAGAATGGGAGTTGTACCCCTCTCCTCGCCTTCTGTTGTCTTGCCTCAGTGTCTCCTCCTCGTCCCAGCGCCAGCTAGGCATATGAAACAGAGGCGTAGGCGGGCCCTCCCCCATGCCCCCTCTTCTCGATGCTGGTTGATATAATCAGTCATCCTAATGATGTAACTGCGTGTAGATATAATGTTAGAATCACACATCCTGTTGTAGATCATTCAGACCACCTAATGGCGATATAAGTATTTCCAGTTCCCTGTTTTCTTAACCAAAATAACAATATAATCATTTATTGAAGCAACCAATATAGCAGCAACAAAGGGAAGATTGTGAACAGTAGGCTGTAGTTCTGAATAAAAGCAATGTGTTTTTGTACTTCTGAAGAAATCGACAACTTAATTTCTATAGAAGTTCGAAATCATATACTAACTGTGCACCTTCTATAACCCTGAAACAGTTCATGATAATAGGTAGCATGTCACTTGTAGTCAGAAAATCATGAGATGCAACAAGTTACATCAATTTGCTACGAAACCATCACTTCTCATTGGATAGTACCTGGCACACTAATTTGTAAAGTAGTAATCTGTAGTCTCAAATATCAGCAGGGCTTAGTAGGAGCTAGAGTGGGGCAATCCTAAGCTGGAGAGAGTAAAAGCCATGTCTAATGCTGAAACGACCATGTATCCAAACCAGTCCTATCACAAGTAAATTTGCACCAGCATTCACGATGAATGATCTCATGCAAATTTTCACGTCAGATTGGTCTGTTGAGTAAAATCTTCTGTCCTGTCCCTGTGATTCGTAGATCCTAGAAACACAACTGCCGGGAGTTTTTTCTTTTGGTCCATTTCCACAGATGCGCAGCAACAAACAGGATAAAAAAAATCACGAGCACACGCCACTGGGAGCAGGGCGTCGAGGCCTCAACGCATAAATAAACAAATCTAATGGAACTACTGTCAACTGGCGATCTATTGTACCCTGCCAGACAGTTTCATTCCCACGCCTTTTTCGCCTAACAATAGGAAAACGGCCACCTGATTTCCTGGATTCCGGGCTCCCTATCCCGCCTGATTTGCTGACCACATATTCTCTACTCCGACGAATAGGAACGGATCATACATGGGAGGAGGCCGGAGCCCGAGGGAGATGAACATGCTTGTTACCTGCTGGGCGATGCGGAACGGGTTGCACTCCCCCTTGCGGCCCCAGTCCCTGACGACGAGCAGGCTCAGCGACCCGTCGTTCTTGGCTGGGTGCTCCAGCCGGGGCAGCGTGGCCGCGGCCAGGACGGTGAGGACCGTGGCAATGCCGCCCTTCGCCATGGCCTTCAAGGGCGCACCCGGAGCAAGAACAAACCGCACGGACGGGAGGCCGAGCGCCCATCCTTGCGCGCCTCGCGGGCTCCATCTGCTGCACATGCCCTCCTCTCCTGCTTCCCTGCGGACTCGGGATATGGAGGCGGCGGCTAGGGTTTTGGCTCACAGCGTCGTGGGCCGCCGAGGGGGGCAGCGTGGGCACGACAGCGCCGGGCGACGCCGGCTGGGGTAGGGCTCGATTAGGGTTTACGGGCAGCGACAAGGGAGGGGATCGGGAGGACGGGAATTTGGGTGGGGATTACTGTGGGAGTGGCGTGCGCTCGGGGGAAGGAGAAGGAGGACGATGTTCTGACCCTTTGTTTTCTCGAAAAAAGGGAAAACAATGTGGGGGTTGGGAATCGAACGGGGTCACGGAGTGTTTGAACCGTGTTTCACGGGTGCGGACATGAGGGCTTGGTCGGTGTGTGTTGTGTGTCGGTGTGGGGAGAAGGCTAGCATCACACATGAAAGATCGATTGTTGGATGAGTTTTTTTTTCTTATTAGCCCTTGATTTTTAATAGCTATGAATTTTACATTCGTATTTTTCTAGGTGTATAATAGCCAGAGGCTCTCAGCGGGAGACGTTTTCCTAGGTAGACCTAGTATAATTTTGATTGATCCATTATTAATTTACATATAATGGTTATATCGAGTTTGATACAATAAATATAAGCCCATTCGGGCCTCTCTAAAAGCACACTGCCTAACGAGAATGTAACGATTATAAATAACACCACGGGAATGTATAAACTAGGACATAGATCAATGTATGCTTGTTAAGCACTTATGGTTCGCCCACCGTCAACCTAGATGACCTGGCCGGTGACGTAGGACGCAGCCGGCATACACACACTACTATATGAATGGTTTCTAGGGCCGGCTGGTGAGGCTTCGTAGAGACGGCTCGACCAGCCGCCCCTACCATACCGTCTCTACAAATCATGTATTTGCAGGGGGCGGTTCCCAGACCGCCCTTACAAATCGATTTGTAGAGGCGACTGGTGTTATCAGACGCCCCTACAAATCGATTTGTAAGGGCGGCTGTAGTACCAGCCGCCCCTATGATACCTGTTTGTAGGGGCGGTTCAGTCTAGAACCGCCCTACAAAGATATTTTTCCTCACCAAAAAAATTTAAATTTACAATTCAAATTGACCGTAACATATATATTTACATTTCACACATGAACCATGAAATGTGGAAACAAGAGTTATATTCATGTTTGTTGCGTATATAGTAAATCAATACTTGTAGGAACAAAAAAATTTCAGAGTGGTCTAGTTGTAGGCTGGTAACCATATCACCAAAGGACGTAACAGGTATCATGATTTAAAAGGACTAGTTAATTCTGGTGGTATGTCTATTTGAAAATTTTGACAAATGAGCTACAAGTAAAGTACCAATACGATCCATACATGTTTTGGACATAAGGCTACAATCAGATAATTGACCAAAGTAGAACTGTACCTCAAGTGGCCTGCTAAAACAGTAACTAACAGCCATTCTAATTGTAACTAAAGCAGTTTATCACACACAGCAGCCCATACAATATCATCACACCCTATTAATTATGCAACAACTAAAGTCTCAATTTTTTTTATGAGAAGAACATCATCACAGTTATAGTGATGTAAGGCAAGATATGAGAGGAAAAACTTATTGACTATTTAAAATGTCTATCGTTTAACTGAGGTCTGGAAGGATATGGCAGCAGCCCTGGACAAATCTGAGATCGACGATTTCTCATTAGAATATATGTTGAGATTTAGTTCTCTCCCAAAAAAATTAAGAATAATGTTGAGATCGATGATTGTGCAGATTTGTTTTCTAAGAATAATGTGACTAGCAACTACTTCAGAAGCACCAATACCGCTACTGCTCAATACAGGATCTGTAACTTTGAAGGCAAAAACCAGCTCTGTAGGCAGAAAAAAATGGCAACAATAGAGAACTAGATCAATTTACCTCTTAGAAATTTATAGCTTATGTCACATCAGAGTCTGCACTCTGCAGCACATGATAAAAAAATATTGGTATCCAACTTTACAGCAAGATATATGAGATAAAAACATCAGAGTCGTGAGAAAAATAGTCTGTGGTAGTGATAGCATGAGCATGAGATCCTATAGAAGTCAACTACAAGGAAGTGTGCAAGGTAACTTAACAAAAATGAATAGTAGTGCATACTTAATAAAAACTGTACACCAGGTTTGGTTTATAAAAGAATTCACCTATATTAGTATGATATTATAAATGAGTATAATAGTATATTCACCCATAGTCATCAGCTTTTACAGTGAGTCTTGGCACGATCGATTTGAGGGTAGAGACTATAGAGTGAATGATCTTATAATTTTATTAACTACTAAGAAGCTCATCTCATTTTGGAATTTTCCTTGGTTTGATTGGCAAGTTCTGAATATATTGAATATTAGTAATTACCAAGAAACTTAACTCATTTTGGAAATTTTTCTATCCAATTATTGTAAATAACACATAGAGAGTTGCATTAGAGAAAAATAATATGTGCACCATACAGCAGAACCAAGCACAACTAGGGATCTCAACATCGTGTTGCAAAGATGGGGAAGGCCTAGGACATACGGTGTTGGATGGCACTATGCAGAAGCTCCATGTTTGTAATAAGGCACAACTTAGTGAGGACAAATAAACTGCACATTAGGATACACATCAATAGGAGAATGTCTTTACATCTACATTTCTATCAGACAAAATAAATGTGTAATGAATCATCATCGTGCATAGTAAATTAAAAGAATTAGGAACTGATCAAGGTGACATTGTTAAAGCACTCATGTCCATCGACATGCCCATTTTGCGCCGGCATCATTGCTTCATGTTCTTCTGCCTCACCCCAATCGTTGTAGCTCTCTCAGAACATAGGACTTGCTTCCACACCTCAACATATAAGAAACTCTTACTGCTTCCTAATAGGTTCTTGGATGGCAATATGCAGATGCTAATACCAGCACACATGCTTTGAGTTGGCTACTCACCACACAATACAAGGCTACTAAATGACCATCATCGTTGTCTAAGTTGGTTGGCATGAGCATCTCCAACCCCTCCCTACATCTGAAACAAGACAAAAAAGAAGCCATTCATGATTCATTTACTTCAAACCAAAACTAAACAATTTGTCATACAACAAAGAATAAATTGCGCCAAGAAAGAGTACAACTACACATTACCGTCAATGTTAGAGAAGCTTCAGCTGGTGTACAGAGCATAAACAAATTTCCAGTCACTCACACTAAACATCTAGGCACTAATACCCTACACACTAATGGGTATGCTCAGATCTGAAGCCCTCTTAGGGGATGAGTTCAGAGGGAGAGGATAAACGGAAAAGGCTGACCGCTCGCCGCTCATCACCCGGTGCCCGACCGCTGAGATCCCCGGCCCCCGGTTGGCTGCGCCCCAACGCAGATCCGCTTGGCCCCGGCACAGATTCGCTCGGGCCCTCGGCACTGGCGCGGTGCCACGCCGCCCCGGCCGTCGGAGGTTCGCGGCACCGCCGGACCAGGCGTCCAGCGCTGGCCGGTGGCTTTGGACCGCCCGCAGCGAAACCGGGCATTGGTGGCGGCAGCGCAGGTGGCAGGGGTGGCAGCAGCCGATGGGTACGGTGCGGTACGGCGGCGAATGTCTGTGGTGCGGAGAGGAGCAGCCGAGCAGGAGAGGGGATGGGGATGCCCCATGGCTGCGGCGCGGTGAGGGGAAGGCGCTGCGGCCACCGGACAGCTTCAAGCGGTGAGGGGAAGGAGAGGGTTGGGGGTAGGAAATGGCTGTAGCTCGGTGGAAGAGAAAAGTTTGGGGAAAGTGAAATTATGGAAGAAGGTGGCTGCTATATATACAGCGGGCATTTGTAGGGGCGACTGGTAACAGGGGCGGCTGATAATAGCCGCCTCTACATACCAGCCGCCCCTACAAATTGACCCATTTGTAGGGGCGGCTCATATTACCAGCCGTCCTTATTGTGCCATTTGTTGGGGCGGTTACTGTGCTGGACTCCGAGCACACCACTGTAGGAGCTACTCCAATGCCAGCCGCCCCAAAAAAAAAAGCCCCGTTATTACAAACTTTTTTTCACGTACAGGAACGACACCATGGACGCCACCTCCGCCGGCTCCCCGATGCGACGCAGTGGAATCCGCTGAGATTGGTGCTCGATGGCTTCCGAGTTTGCTACTTACATGCCAAACTCAATCACAGATTACTATGGCAAACAACAATGGGATTCTGTAGCTGTCGAGCTCGATCTATCTCATGGTAAATAAAATAGTAATAATAAAAAAAGAAAGAAAACAATGAAATAAGTGGTAAAAATATGTACAAGGACGTGAGTAGTCCATGAGGTCCACCTCACGTACGTACGTTTGTAACCATGTCAGTCATGACCACCCCTGGTGCGACGCAGTTCACACGGATCTTGTCTGGGGCCCACTCAGCAGCCAGGCTCCTTGTGAGCTGGTTCATCCCTCCTGTGCAGCACGCAGTAAAATTAAAGGCCCACAACAAGAACACGATTCAAAATGTAGAAGAAGTCTAGAAGAAGTTTGTAAACACGATCGCAAATACTTGGTATATTTTACATGCACGTGCTGGTTAGTTTTGTTTAAATAAATCTGGTCTATGGCATTTCATCGTTGAATAAATATTTGGAGTAAGGACATCAAAATCATACTTATGCACACTAGATATTTATCTTGTAAGAAAATTCTTTTGTATTACTGTAATGTTTCTATTTCATTATATAGTGTCATTTGGATTCTTTCATTTTGGAGAAATTGGAATTTATTTAATGGTCTAGGCTATTCACATATAAGCTTATCTTAAATTCATAAGGTGTGTGATGAAAATTGATTCATAAGGGCGGCATCGGGAGAAGGCAGACGCGAGGAAGAAGCTTAAGCAAAGCGTCAGTCGTCTAGCGTAGATATACACCC